CTACCTTTATGTTTTCTCTGCTAACCTCCCTCTTGTTGTATGTTGCCTGCCCTGTTACCCATGTTAGCATGTGCCTACCTTCTAACCCATGCAGTTTCCCCTCCACACTCCCTTCCCTTGTAAACATCATTTCTTTTATCAAGAAAACTATTTATTAACTGTTCACAAAATTCATCTCATAAAATATTTGTTCTTTTGTGATTGTCTAATTTCATTCAGCATAATGTCCTCTAGCTTCAACCATGTTGTGAGGTATTTCACAGATTCATTGTTATCCTTCAACGGTTCTTAGTATTCCATTGTGTGTACATACCAAAGTTTGTTTAATCAACCATTCTTCTGTTGATAGGCATTTAGGCTGTCTCCTTCGTTTTGGTGACAGCATATTGAAGCATACTATTTTTTTGTACATTCTGCTCTCTCTTGACTGGTGCATTTAATCCATTTATATTCAGTGTAATTATTGATTACACTGTCTCCATGTCTTTAGCAAGCTAACAACTGTGGCAGGCTAACTTGCTAGCTTGCAAGTAGAATAACATCCTAAGCCCTTCACAGTTCTTGATATCCAATAGCAAAAAAAATACACTCATGTGTTTAGGATATCTTTTTTTCTTGTAACCTCTTCCAAACACATTATTATCTTTTTGATTAAAAAAAGATATTCTAAAAAGACACCAGTCCTTTACAAAAAGGAAGACAGAAATGCAAAGTGGTTACAACACATGCTTTGGACATAGCAGGACCCATGTTTAAATCCCAGCCCCAATAGGCCCACCAAGTACTGAGCAGTGCACGGTAAGAATTGCACAAAGGTACTTGATTGACTGTGGGGAGTGAGATCTAGCCTGCATGTACCTAACCAAGCCATGGGTCCTAGTGGTGGGACCTGGCAAGGGCTGTGTTCTCAGAGGTGGTGACTCTTTCTTTTTTTTTTTTAAGTTTTTATTGTGAATTGAGTGATAGTTTACATGGGAGAACATCGGTTTTACACTCATCATTTCATTGCAGTGATTATAATCTACTCCGTGCGTCATCATTCAACAGTATTTTTGCTTTTATTCCCTCTGTTGTGGTTTTTGTTTTTTGGAGTAGGGGATGTACACAAAAACACTTAGGAATATATACTCATTTAAACAACCAAAGGGCACATTCTTCAAGCCTGCCTCCTTGCCGCCAGCACCTGGCTATTAGC